CTATCGTTATCAAAAGAACCTAAATGAACCTAAAAAAGAGTATGTTAATAAATTGTGTATCAATAGTAGGATAATACAATATATGAAAATTCGCTCTGATAATTCGTCTGTGCAAATTGTCAGTTATATTATTATTATTATTATCAAATTATCAAGTCAAAGTCACATATATATAAATCATAAACAAATTTTTGTAGCGTATTCGACCCAGGCGCTGTCAACAGTTACAGTGTTCAGAAGTCTGGACAGTTGTAAAATGGATCTCTGATTTTTTCTGATGGACTGACTTGGTCTAGTGCTGATAATTTGAATAAATATAAATTTGCAATATCACATACTTAAGTTGATCGGGGCCATTCGGGAACTGACAGAAATACTGGAATAGCATCAAGATAAAAAATGTAAAAAATTATCAGCAATGAAGCAAGCAAACTAATTAATTTACGATGGAAAGACAAAAAGTCAGCTCAATCCCTTGTATAATATCCAAGCAAAGCATTTGACCACCTAAAACTTTGAACAGATGAAAACCTGAATTGAGAGATACTCAAAATCCTCCCTGTAGCTGGATTTACCTCATAATGAAACTAAATAATTGATAGTTATGGTGATGTTTTAGTTTAGCAGAAACTCAAAGTCCATTATAAAGGGCTTATGAGGGCCCTTCAACACTTATTTATTACAGTAACCATTAAGTTTATTTTTTTTGCAGGAATATCAAGTAGCTTACATCATATTGAAAGCAGCAAATTCACCACGTCCAGGCACCTGGGTGCTGGAAAAATCCAAAGATGGACAACATTTCAGTACTTGGCAGTACTTTGCCAGAACTGACAAGGAATGTATGGACCAGTTCCAAGTTCCGGCCACCAAAGGAAAACCTCATTATTTCACGGATAATGAGATTATTTGTACATCGTACTTTTCGAAGCTGACGCCATTGGAAAACGGGGAGGTAAGTCAGTTGTTAAGTGGACTTACAGGCATGCTATACCGTGTAGACAGACATTGGTGGAAAGTCTCGTTATAAAGTCACAAATTTGTTTGTTACGAAATAGAGGATTACACGGTCTCAAACAATATATCCAGTATGAATTAAAATAACTGTAAATTGAATTTCCGGGATTATGCGTACACCGAAAACATGGTTTTCAAATATTTGCATGACAATCTGACAATACCTACATAAATAATGGTAACGAGCATATTTTGTATTCATGGTAAATTATTAATGCTGTTTTTTCAGGCAGTTTATAATAAATGGTATGTTCATAAAGCCCATATTACAAGAATGTTTTGATTTAAGTATCCTGAACACAATATTACAGGTATTCGGATTTAAAGTATTATGTTTCAGAATTTTAATTGGAATGTGTACAAACTTAATAGGCCTGGTGAAATATAAAAAAGGGGCTCTACGGGGGGCACCCAGTTCCAGTCCGAGTTACGACCGTTTAATTGGAATTAATCATTATTTGGGTCAACAGTAAAGGTATCAGAAAACAAATTAATTTCATGTTTTGATAGATTTGTTTACAGCTATACTATAACGAACCTCATTGGGCAATCGATGATTTAGTTCATTATACGCATTCAATTATTCAGTGCCTCAAAAATTTGTTTTTAGATGCCTTTACACAGGGCGAGGTAGTTAGATTGTTCAAACCGGGATTTCTTAGACTAAAGTAGCTGATGGGATGTTTAATTTGGCAAACAATTGCAAATATATCTCGACTATAAATCAATTTTGGTTAATCAGGGTATAAAATATGTAAAGCAAAAAATAAACTTGCACCTTAGTTCGCAATAAAATGAACCATCAAAATTTGTGTGAAAATGAAATGGCACCTCGTAAGAATAAATTACGGAAAGAAATTTTTATGTTAATGCCACAAGGTATCCGCCCAAACGTGGGTATAGTATCGAAGATTCCAGAAATCAAGTTGTATTTTGAGAGGGATTCTTTTTCCTTTTTCAGAATTTTGGAACTAGAATGGAAAGAAAAGAAATGGATGAAATGAAACAAAAACGGACGTGCAAAGTGTTTTTGGAACTTATTCCCACGTGTTAGCGGATACATCATGGCGTTGTCATTAATTTTTCATTAATCTGTTTCAGTCCAATAACATAAAAAAAAATCAAGCTCATAAGTCATATCTAAGAAACGCTATTTCTATAATTTGTATACGAAAATGTTTAACAGAACATTTTCGGCTGCTCCCGAAGGATGCAGGTAGTTTCAAATTCATTATCTTGTGTTTCGATGCATATTTAATATTCTCCCCCAGAAAGTGGCTGGTATAATTTAATTGGTCTCAAACAATAGAAGATATTTTGACTATTAACAAATATATTGACATTTTCGCATGAGAAAAATGTCAGCTTTGTACCTTATTAGAACGAACTTTTTGAGATTACTTTGCAGATAAAAACAGATTTTGACCCGGTTGATGATTTATAGATTCACTGAAAAAAAATACGTTTCAAAAGTTACATCAAGCTACAATTAAAATGAGCTGCAGTGAACAAGATTAACAGAAAGTATTAAATAAGACATGAAATAATACTAAACACTGTAGGAAAATGCTACCACAAATTAACTCCTTTTCAAGCTGCCACGGAAAACGTCTTCAGCAATGAATTAGTTATTCTTTCACTTTTTAATTATTTGAAGCTTATTCTGCCTGAAGCCATAATTCTGACATAATGCCTGATGCCTGAAGTTCATAATTTATTAAAATAAGTAAAGTTTTCAAATTTATTGGGTAGATAAAACAAAATAGATTCACATTTTCAAAGGAGATTTTTGAACATTTATTTGAGCTGAAAATTTCATTAGGATCTGCCTTTATTTTCATTTAAGACATGATTCCTAGGACAATATACAAAATGCGACAATATGCGAAATGTTTAGACATTTGGTTAGCTTGCTAATTCGCCAGCCATTTTGCAGAATTACTACTATTTTGGGTAAGGTGCAAATTCGATATTTTAGGCAATTTGGGAAACGTATGGGCCAATTAATCTGAGTGTTAGAGATGTTTAGCTTTCACATTAAAATTGTGCTCTTCAGTTTACTGCGGAGAGGTGATTATGCCGAACTTCGCTGTGTCACTAATTCATAATTGCCAATGAAAAGACGACATATTTCAAGTAAAGTAATATTCATAATTCTGTGGAAATATCTGTAATCATGTGTTAGTAGCATTCGACAAAACAGAGGGGTATGCAGCAATTTGTTGATCTCTTCGTAAAAGTTGAAAAAATCTTTAAAAGTTGGCATTAATGGGCTACCAATTCCCAATTATATAATCGCAATAATCAATACTCAAAAAGAGTCAAAACGAGTCTACTTTGTGCAACGGAAAATCGAGATAATAATCGGTTTTGATACAAATGACAAAAAGTAATATTACATACTAAGATAAATGAGATTGGACATTGAAATTTAATACAAGTGAAGACAAGCGAAATGCTGCAAAAGAAGAAACTTCGGTTAATAATGATCCTCCTAAAAGGATCAGCATTGGATGCAATTTTTATCAAACTAGTAAATGTAAATTTCCGAGATTTTGCAGAGAAATAAAAAAAATAATGCCACAAAATTATGAATTTTAATCTCGATGATTCCTATGAAATCTACCACATTGTTCATAGATCTAATAAGAACATATCAAAAGTTAGTGGAGATGTTCATGAAAATGGATGCTGTCAAAATAATTACCAATTCATTATCTTATCTTTCACTGTGAGAAAATAGGATGCTGATAACGCAAGAAATCAAACCAAAATTTGTCAAAATCTTCAAGCGAATAAAATATCTGCATATTTCGCAAAGAGGCCAAAATATTGTAGTGTGGGAGAGAATGTAATCTTCCCTACTCCATCAAAAGACAGTCTCATAGAATGGAACTGAGGAAATCTCAGAAATATCTTAGGGGTTGTACTATACATAGTAATATACAAGAAAATAATTTGTCACCGTGTGGTAGCTGAAGTTTCTGATGGTAAAATATATCACTTCCGCCTAATGCTAATCAGTAGCAACTTGATACGCTCAAATGCAAAACTAAAACTACTTCAATTTGACATTCGTCGGATTTTTTTTTATTGTGGTGAAAAGTATAGTCAGGAAATTTCATGTATCAAAATTGCCTGACAACAACACGATCCAAATGCGATTTTTAATATTAAAAATGCGTCAAACTTGACTGAAAACACGGAAAACATTGCACTAAACAGAATTTGGTCTGGAATGATATTCGACGTGACTAATTTACGGGAGCGAATCAAATGGCAAAACCTGTATTGAACCGAATGAAAAATTTTACTGTATAAATTGAGGTGAGGAAGCTTCTGCATAATTGTATTAGTTGTTTTCTGAAAGTTTTTTTCACCTTATTTGACGAACGTGGAAGAAATAGTGTAGTAAATGCAGTCTGAACCATAAGAAATGGGTAACAATGAAACAGTGAATAGCTTAACAAGAAATTTTGTTATTTTCTAAAAAAATCACTATTGTGGCGTAATAATTTTCGAGCGCTATTCGTCAAAATTTTTGCCAAATCTTAGCTTACACATCATCAGGCAGCATAAGTAATCACATTCAAAGGATAATGTTTTCAGTTTTCCCTATCACTCAAAAGACATCAATAATATTATTTTAACAATATGAAAGAATGCACTTAGGTGAATTATTATATGTTTCATATTTAGATGTTCTTAGGCAAATTATTGTATTAGGAGTAGAAGCTTTACTTTTTGTGCTGAAGCTGTAAGCATAAACAGTAGCTCAAGTCCATATACAACGCTCATTTTTTTCTTCAAATCATAAAAACAATGCATTTAAATGGGGTTTATTACAAATTCGAACTTCGAAACTAGATATGGCAATGTTTTACTATATTATTATAAAAACCGTCCATAATTATAAACCGATCCAAGAACCCTTACAGGCCTGGTTTCATTCTGAAATTAAAAATTGGAATTCCTATCGCCCCATATTGCTTTCAATTGGAAAATAGAACAAATTCTTCTGTATGCGTAATTCTTAGAATTATTATGTTGTCGTAAACATGTGTCTGTGCTCCTTTCGCAATTCTTATCCTTGGTTATTAAAGTGGATGAAATGTACCCCAATTAAGAAATGTTCTCATGTAAATGTTGGTTTTCAGTGATTTGAAACTATTATTTTTTGGAATATATGAATTGAGATTGATAGAGAGATACAGAGAAGGTACTGAAGCAAGCATTCTTCTTTCTCTTAAGTCTATGGATTTTACTTAAACTGCAAAAATTACATATGCACTTAAGGCTGAACGTGAAAAGTATTTCAATGCCATGAGGAGTTTAATTTTATATTGTTAGGTGAAAATCAGAACGATTTTGTCTCAAACGAAATTGTTGCTCAGATGACAAATGTTGATTTTGTTCAGTTAAATCTAAGCATGCGTTTTGTTTGTGAAAAAGAAATAATTGCCATGGATCAATTTTTGCTCTTTAACATAACACTTTACTACATTAGTGTGCGAAACTAAACAAAACTGCTTTTGTGAGCCAAATAAATACAATTATAATTTTTGGTTAAATAGAATGAACTAGTGCTTTTTCAAAGCCTTTATGTGAGGTTAGCTAGAGGGTGATTTGGGCATGTAATATTTTAAGCATACTACATACAATTAAAATAACTTTAAAAAAATTTACATCATTGTAATTGTTATGCAGACCTAAAAAATTTAAAGTTTTCCAAAAAATTTCAACTCAAACATGTAAATAACACTTGACGTATTAAAAATATTTAGGAAACTTTTTCCAGCGTTTTCACAGAATACTTTTAAATATGACTTAAATCATAAATAACATAATACAACTGTTCGCTATATTTATGAAGCATTTCTATCTGAAATAAATAGATATCATTTAGAGATTCTTTAAAACAAATACGCACTCATCACACGCTGATATACCGGTTAAATAATTCAATTGAATTTCTAATGGAAGATTATTTTAAATTTATTACAGGTTCACATATCACTGGTCCAGGGGCGTCCAGGAGCGAATGAATCCAGTCCCGAACTGTTAGAATTCACCAAAGCTAGATATGTACGATTCCGACTAATGGGTTTGCGAGGAAATTTGGAACCAATACCTAAATCGTTGAGCCAAGACCGGCTGAAAGACAAAAAGTTATTCTACTCGATCAAGGATATATCCATAGGAGGACAATGCGTTTGTAATGGCCACGCTGAGAATTGCAGGCACAATGTCGCTAGTGGGGTAAGTTCAAATGTTTACTGATAAAACATTTTAAATAAAAAAAGAACTGAGAAAAATATATTTGACGCCGAATTGAAATGTGTAGTAAAAAGTTAAAATTATTATTTTCAAAACTTCTGTAATTTGTCAATAAGTTTAAATCGATTGATAAACCCGCTCATTTACCAGACGTCTATTAGAGGCTTTAAGTGTTAGTTTGGGTTAGAATTCGAGTTCTAACTTATAAACGATATTGGATATTATGTATAACCAAAAAAGAGACACAATCTGCTTTACAAACCCATCTTAAAGCTCTTATAAGAAACGAGAAACCGATTGGTGCAAAGTAGTTAAAGCCCTAATATGTGTCATTATTTTCAACTGCAAATATTGGTTTTGCACTCTATATGTTTTTACGCAAAAACTGCTGTTTTATTAATTTCGATGAATTGAATTGTGTCTAAGATTTTTGTTTAATAAGCTTTAAACACATAAAAATGACATATTCCTTCACAACAAAATTGTCATTTATACCAAAAAAATATTCATTTAAAGCATAAAAAGCTACTATAATAGAGCGTTCAAACAGCAAATTTTCGTGAGGAATTTTTGCGATGTTTTGCTTTTATATTCGAAAAATGACTGAATTGTTTTTTCACATTTTTTCTCTCTTGTCTAGTAGGTTCTAGTAACGCCTTACATGGAAAGACGGTAAATTTTAATCATCCGATAGATGCAAATTATTTATTTTTTAGTATTCAACTGTTACTAAAAAACGCAAGCATACGACGGGAATTCTGAAAACTAAAAATTGCACTTCGCGAAAACGCACATTTCTCCTAAAATAGCTTAAGTAGATTTTTATTTGATATGTAAAGCTAGCTACAACAATAGCTGGAAAGTTTCAGGCTTCTAGATTAAAATATTCGAAACGTTTTGAGATTTCTCAACTTTTGTTGAGTTGACTTTTTCAAACCAAAATGCTTAGACTGCCAGGCTCTTCTTAACGAATTAAAAGTATTCTTAAAACATTCGAGCAGTACTCCAAGTTTCATTGTCATAACACCAATAGATTCCGACATATCAAGGGCTCCTCTAAACACGATTCCAGCATTCAAATTATATGTAAACACGATTTATTTGAAGAATTCAAATCATTTCCCCAGCCGCCTGAGGATCGTCGAGAGGCAAAAGATTGACAAGATTCCCACACGATAACTATCAGAGAAGTCCAAATAAGCACTCAAAGCGCATTTCTCTGAAAAACGTGACCAATGCATTGGCGCACCATGCTCTTATAAGGGCCGTCTGAAAACCGACCAAGACCAAACCGAGACACTTGATCACTTTTATCTTCAGTTTTTCTTTAAAACGTCTTGCTGTTCTAAGGAAACAATACCTTCATCTTTTTTACTTATAAACTGTTTAATCTACGTATATGTACAGGGGTACAATTGAGACGGATGAGACGGAATCTGAGGCCTATTGAAGAGCAAATTGGGGTTCCACTGCTATCGAAATTAAACAACTTACATCCAGTACATCACAGTAGTTCAATGTCTCAGGCGGCTCGAATCAGTCAAAGATTTTGCAATTGACGTTTTTGTCGTATTTGGTTCGAAAACAAAATGTACATATTTCCAATGGGACAATTGCTTTAAAAAATTGCTGCTCCCACAACATTCTCAAAATTAGCAGTTTTCTATCAGAAATGTAGAAGTGGTTTGCGAAGACGCTATTATGGCTATTAATATGCATGTTTCGGAAAGGTCCAGAACTTTGACATGGGACTTCGGAAAAAATGTCGCTGGTCTAATTTATAGTGAAAAATTTCTAAATTCCAAACTCAAACGTGTAAGTGTCAAATCTATTCAAATATTGAACAACGCTTTAGATAGACCGACAGCCAAGAAATCATAGCTGAATCGCGACAGCAACAAACGTTTTCTATTAAGATACCTTGGTAGAATAGAAAATGTGAAATGTTAATGAGGAATTGGAGTAGCCAACTATACATTGGTAAAACAATCATCAATATTATTTTGTAACTAATAGTTAAAGAATTGTTGTCACATTTGAAAATTTTTAAATATTTTGCCAACTTAACTTGGGAGGATGAAATGAGCAATCCTGCACCCATTGTGCCGGACATATAATGAAAAATTGGACAGTAGCCAGCAAATCGTAATATTTAATGTCTAAGAAACAAAAATTTAGAAGTCTAAATAATCAAGTCCAGCATAATTCGGAGCATCAGGGGCGCTCATATGAAGCAAATTATATAAAAATAATAAGATAGAGTAAGAATAGAAGAAGCTCTGCTAGTCAGAATATGATGGAGTATTCACGGTGAAGTTTGCAGTTTCGCTCAACAAAATTTGTGTTGCATCGAGGACCCTTCGTTTGTTAGGGGTGCCGTTGTCGTGTGTATGTTTCTGAGAGTGAGAGTCAGTTTACAAAAGAGAATTGAGCTGTTTTCAAAAGAAATTTTATTGGTAGACTCTCATATTGACAAACTATGCAGAACATAAATACTCCAATTGAAATGGTAGGTAATTTTCATTCCTTAATTACGTATTATCTGTGTAATCTGCTGATCGATACATTATCACGGCATAATTTGAAGCCAAAAGAGTAGTTCGTCTGCTTTCGAAAGATTAATACAAACATTTCCATCTGATCATTAAAGTCACTCTATTACAGTAAAAATGGAACAAACCATTTAGAGTAGAAGGCAAAGCTAACTCAAAAACATTTTTTTGTTGACAAATAAAAGTGCTTCATTTATGCTAGAGATAATGAGATCCTCCCCTGAGAGCTGCAGATAATGTTCATATAGCTTACAATAATTTTAATATTTTTTCTTCCGGTCATTGAAACTCAATTAATTTGGTTCTTGTAGATGGAAGGAATTCAAAAACATATTTCATTTTTATTTTATTATTTTATTAAAAACATATTTCATTTACCTAAAATAAAATATTCTAAATCTTTCCCGGTCTAAAGCACTGAGGTAATCGTTAAACACTATATAAAATGTAATGGTCTTATAAAAGAATGGAAAACGGTTCCGATAGCTGTTTGAGTAAAAATAGTTCAGTAAGTCGCAAATTGGTCGCTCGCGTGACACACCGTCGTGAGCTAACTGAAGTCCATTTAAAATATCTTCAAAATTGAATTCCAGCACTGTTTCAAGTCGCTATTTTAGCAGCTCTTTTATTTTTACTGCATCACTAAGTGAGCTCAAAATATTCGGGAGCGATTTCCTATTCGCGGATAATGATCGGTTTTAATGAAATTCTTCCCCTTCCAATTAAAATTCATATTTCCTGAAAGCCTAACTAATACTCACTTGAATGGCGAATTATCCGTCAATTAGAAGAAAAAGTAGAAACTTGGGAAGTTGGAAAGATATTTTCTAATGGCTTTCCATTGAGGATAATTAGTTTTTCCTATTATGTTTGAGCGCAGAAAATATTTTTCGACGAGATTAAATGTTAGTGCCCGTCATTTTCCGTCGGATTAAGGTTTATTAAAAAAAGTGGTAAAGATTTATTTTGCTGGATTTAACAAACCAATTTAGAAAGAAGCGTAAAGTAAATCGAGATTTGACAGAATTCGTACGACAAATTCAATACCTATTTTAAACAATAATCTACTAATTAAATTGCATATTACAAAAAGTGTGACCGGCTTTATTTATATTACCTATCTACTATTTATGGTCTTTTTACTTTGCAATAATTATTACACAAGATTTCTTAAATATTTTGATCAATACAACTGTAAACGGAAAAGGGTTGTACTAACTTCTACTTCAGTTCATCATTAATAAGCTAATTAGAGATAGAAGCAAGGGATTTTGGTGACCTTTCCGTTGATCGAATTTGGAAAACTCTGCGGGAAAGTTGTTGATTATACAGGGTAATTCAGGTTTTACTTTCTCTGTCCTTACATGACATAAATTTTTTAACAAAATCGCATCGCTTCGAAGATACAGGGCGGGGAAATAATATTTTTCCGCTGTCTTCTCGTCAATGTTGACGATTCACTCATTCGATTAGCAAAAAAAATCGAACCCCAACACTAATTTTCACAAAGATTGGTGAATTTCTAAGGCTTGGTGTAACGCTAAATTAAATTCCGGTAAATGGGTCAAATTTCCTTAAATATCTCGAGACAAGGTAAAATGCCACAAAATTGAGTCAATGAATGGAACGGTGCAGGTGCTTTATTGAAATACAATTTTATTCTGAATTTTTGAATAAAAAGACGAAGGATGTGTATTGTCAGAAGTGGGTGTTACAAATTTGACCGCAATCGTATAAATTATTCAAAAGTTCTGAAGAACAAAATATAAAAAAATTCAGCACCCCCGTGTCTTCGAAACAATGCGATTTAACGAAAAACTTTATATCAGGTAATGACATTAAGTTAACAAGAATAAACCTGAATCATTCTCTAGACAAACATAAAAGGCACACAACAACATAAGGGCAACGGCGAGATAAAACCTCCCAGAGACGTGTTTACGATGTTATTTAAGTTCGAAAATAGTTTATTAACTGATTACTTATTATATAAATGCGTGATAAAAGAACAAATTATGACAATGTCTTAATTTTTGTTGAGTTGGAAAATGAAACCTATAATAGTCTTTGCCAGCTGCGGACCCCGACGGTTCTTCTGAGGAGGTCCCGGCGGTATTTTCTGGTGTATGATAGTGGTGTTTTCTTCCCCATGATTCCCACGATTAGCTAGGGAAGGGTTAGGTCCATCCACACAGAGCCCCATACATTGCAGTAGCTGTTCGCTTTACCCCTATGAAGTTCCTCCAATTTATGCAGTAATTTCTACTACGGACATCTAGGCCATATATGAATAATTAGATATTTGGCTAAAGGTTGTGTTAGTGAGTTTATCTACTAACTATAGGTTGTAAAGGAATATCTATTTTATGAATGTTTAAAACCCCGTAAACTGTTGTGTTTTAGTTTTGTGTGGTGTTAGCTTTATTTTTGCTTTAACAGCTTGAGCCAAAGTTTGTGGTAGGTGATAGCTCTCGATTAATTTTTGATTGATTGATTTTTGATTTCCTGTATCTTATGAAATAAGAGCACTCTTTATCAATCTGCTGTAAAAAACGTGAGAAAATTCTGGCTATTTAAAATACAAAAACTTTGATGCAAAATTCCAAAAAAAAGTTTTTAAAGCATGAATCCCCTCCTACCGTATGGAGTTAATCTAGGAACATTGTGGCACGGTAATCTATCGGAATGCGCAATTTGCCTAAGATAGAGATCGGCCTAGATCCACTGGAGAAATTGGAAGTATCTTCATAACAAGGTTTAAACAAGTTATCGGCAAATCACCACTAGCATTAACAAAAATTTTAGTTAATATCAAATGTGAAAATAGTTTTCCTGCTCTATTCAAATCAACTCATTCAAGTTTATCTAAGTGTTTACTTGATTAGTGTGAGAAATGAGGATAGATATTTTTAGAACAAGACTATTCATTGCGGATTTAATTTCATTTCGCAAGCATTTGCAAGTTTAACTTCTATACCATTGCCGTTTTAACATGAAAAGATCTGGATTTTCAGCATCCAGAATGCGAATGCTTACACCATACGTGTGGAGCAAACTGCGAAATGTGCTGCCCACTTTACAACCAACGTCAGTGGTTTCCTGGATCTTCGAGGGACGCCCAAAAATGCTTGCCCTGCAACTGCCACGGGCATGCAAAGAGCTGCCGATATGATGAAGAGGTCGACCGAAATGGGCTCAGTTTAAGTGCTGATGGCTCTTATCAAGGAGGGGGTGTTTGTCAAAATTGCACGGTAAGCTCTAATAAAAACACTGTACTTAAAAAATATTGCCCAAACCAATTAAAACCATATTTCTCCAGTTCAAAAATGAAATACGATGTGTGTGCATGCCAAATCTTGTATTCTTTGTTACTAGATTTATTTTGATAGTTTTGTAAGACTAATTCTGGTAAAAATAATACGCGGTTTCTTCTGCTTTAAAATCAATAGTGTGATATTTTTGGGAATATTAAATTAAACCGATATATTGTCGCTTAAAGTCGTTAGTCGCTCAATGATGTTGAACGTAAAAAGGAAGGTACTAGTTCGTTAGTATAAGCAAATACCAATGATTATTGCTTCCTGATAATACAGGCAATAAGGCAATATCATGGTTTATAGAGATGTTCCCACGTAGATATAGACTAGAGGAGCAATTTATTTATACACGAAAATTTACTTACAGGAAAATTAAAGCGTAAATATTTAATAAAGGTAATCTGATGGGGACCATGTTCGCATTTCGACCCCATTCAAATATAGAAATAACAAGAATAGCAATAATGGTATATAAAAAGTATCGTATATACACAAAGACAACAACACGAATTTAGAAATCTATTTGCAACCCATTACTTGGCTCCGGTTAGATTATATTTGCAAACACCGCGAACCCTACCAAGCGAACGTTGTAGCTAATGAAGTAAATGGAAATGCAAACGATAATAAGAAGTCATCTTACATATTAAATAAATATAGCTCCATTTAATTAAGCAACGCCACTACTTTGTGAGCCCTAACAGCCACCCAAAATAATATACAGGAATATTAGGCGCAAAGTAGAGAACATGCGAAAAATATTGATGAAAACTTGCTCATCAACACCTTTAGGAAACTTAGGTTCCGAACATGACAGTAAAACATGATTAAAACACTAAATTAATGAACAGATCACGACATGTTCGGCATTAGTTGTTGTAATTTGCCCCAGGTCAGAAGATCGCTAGTTATCGATAGCCTTTCTAAGAACAAATATATTTATATTAGTTGTTGATTTTATATTAAAACGAAATATCATTGGACAGGGGTAGTTATTGGCATTATTTTAAAAAATCTGCACTGTTGAAAAATCTGGATCGCTGGTCGAGCTTTAGATAGATAGAGATAGGTCGAGTTTTAAATGATGTTTTAATGTTTTGTTTTTACGTAAGCTAAGTTAGCGCTGTGCGATTAACTCTCACACTTCTGCATCTGTTAGTAACTGAAACTTTTTGTATTTGTGTCAACTTTCTAAGGTCTGTCTTCAAATCGAGGTAATTCAACTCAATTCCTTCCGCTAAATCATTATAGTAAATTGAATCAATATCATTGAAATCTATGATTTTCACAAGTTAACTAATTCGACTAAGTTGCAATTGTGCCGATGGTTCTGAAGCTGAAGAAGAATCTCCTTCATTTAATTTTAGAATTCATTGGCACAGTTTGTTGCTTATCAAACGAAATTTCTTATCGACTCTCTCTCTTGTTCGTTGTTCAATATCCAAATATTCCCGAGGGATTTCAACATCTGATTTTTCTTCAGTTAAATTAGTTTCAAAGTTAAATTATAAGACAATGAAAAGGTGTAACTTTAGCGTCGGATTTAGTCTCCGTATAACGAAAAAAAAACACATTTATTTCCTTGTTTTAGTAGTGGCTTCGATTCCATTTCATGATAACCCTTGTACGTAACTTACGTATTAATATATTCTACTTGTTATGCATGCGTTAACAAATTCATAACATTAACTGAAAAATTAGCATGCGAAATAATATAACCTATTGAATAGGGGTATTACCTCCGGCTCGCGATTTTCAGCGTTAAATGCTAAAGTGCAATACCCACCATGCATATTGAATATCGAGCTATTATTATCAACGGCAAAATCACCTAATTAATTCCGACAATGTCGAATAGAAGCGGACAACTTTCCAACATCCTGAATAATGAATTTTGGTGGTGAGAACACTCCGTCGACGCCGGTCAACATTAGCTCCTATCCCGGAATGTAGCAGAGGTTTTAACCTAATGAGCCGTTTCCACAATTTCCGGGAGTCATAAAAGTGCTATGGAGCCGATTTGAGTAAGGTTTCAGGACTTCATTTCTGCGAACTAGATTCAAACGCATTAATTTCTTGAATATTTAATTCCAAATGTATGCAGAAATGTTTCATTTTGATACTTGCTCGATGTATATTCAATGTTACTAATGTAAGTACTAGAAGAAGTCAATTGGTATTCGTATGAAGGAACAGAAGACCTACATTCTACAAGTTATATTAACTATCAAACATTTATGTGAGAAACAAGTGACTAAAAAAAGTGTTGAATTTTTATAACAATATGTGCGTGCTAGAAGAGGCAGTATAATGGTAATGCCGAAATATATTAAAGATTTTACAGAATACATTTTCATTTATTTCATACTTCTATTATATGTATACAATATAACCTTCCCTGCATCCAATGAATTGTGTCAGATATTGCTTAACTTGAATGTTGAAAATGTATATTTTTAAATGAAGCTTACTACTCTCAATCTCAGAAATACTGTTTGATTTTTACTATCTTTTTGAAGAGGGGCCTTTATCACCCAGTGAAGAATCATATTTAATTTCGTAGCATTCAAATGGATTTTAATTCATCAGATACATTTGTTTCTACAAAGTATTTCCATTATCTGTAACAAATAAGCAAATATGTTAATGATGCAAATGGAATTTCACGATGATATAAACCTCAATTTCGGCAGAAGTATATTATGAGTACGTACATTTCAAAAGTACATTTGGAATTTTTTTTTATAAAAGGTTTACCTTTATTTCAATACATGTTATACTTTATTATTTTTGGAGTGAATAACTAATATCAATTCAGGATGCAAATTAATCAGAGATTACAAAATTTTTAGTACGCTCTTCTAACCATTCATTAATTCATTATGTATGTTATTTTCGTTACCTTGATCTTACAAATAACAATGAGTTTGTGCACGCATACAAAAAGGCTACTTTATATGTAATATCACAATTGAAAGAAGTCACATATTTGTTTTGTTCACAGTTTTCACTTCAATTGATTGATTGATTGATCAATAAACTTAGTACTTGTCTTTCGAAGGTTAAAAATAAAGTGAGTTATAGGACTATATTCAAATTTGAATCTCTATGGAAGTTTAATTGAGATGTAACACGCAAAAATCTAATTTGATTTCCAAAAGTCACGAATCAGAGTAAATATCATGTATTGTTTCAGGACTTTACAACCGGAATCAACTGTGAGAAGTGCCTGACTGGATTTTTTCGGCCGATTAATGTTTCTGCCCACGACTCTAAGCCATGTTTGAAATGCGATTGCAGTGTAGTTGGATCATCACCAGATATCTGTGTACAGGTGAAAATAAAAATTCTTATTTCTAAAACCGCAGGTTAATAGCCTCCTCTTTATTGTAAGAGTTTTAAAATGAGCATTCGGTTTTATTGATGTAATCCCCTGTTAGTAAGGGTTTTTGAACTACCTCTTTTAAAAATACACAATGCTGAACTATTTAAGTCGAAATTTCAATAATCAGTGGCCTGCTGCAGTAAGAGTTTCATCTACAATCCACGTTTGCACCCTCGGACTAATAGACCGGTTTCATTTAATCTTGTTTCCAATATAGTCTTAAAACAGTTCCTGAGGAGAAAATGCTACTTAAATTGCCCCAAGCTTTGTGACAGAAAATATCACTTTGGAAAATTCAAAGCTAATAGATAGTTTAATAATCAAGCTTTTGAGGTGCTACCAAAAAAGAGCAGAAATTGTTAATATCAGCAATTAAAGTGGAAGTTCATGTTCATGTTCATAAGAGCAATTTAATAGACGTTGGAAAAAAATATGTTTTTGATAAACTTGTATTTAAAGAAATGATAGAGCATTAAAAATAGAACTTGAATATTCGAGTATTGCCAAACGGATATATAAAGTGAGCGCGACGCTCCCCTGTTAGTTCGTGATCGAGCTATTGAATCAAGGTTCATAGTAGAGCGATTATTGTTCGCTTTAACACGGGTTGTGTTTATTAAATTGCGTTTACAAACAGAGCGAGTTATTGAAATCTTTGGAACTCCAAAATCGTAGCAAGTGGTGTCAGAAGTGCGCCTCCAGATAAACTTTTAAGGATATAGTTGCTGTATGTAAATGTTTAACTACTTAACATTGCAAATTTTACGACAGTGACTAGAAGGTAAAGCAATAGAGGGACAGCTTGCTTCATTACCCTTATGCAATAACAGAAAGAGGAACAGAAAGAAACGCGCAAAACCCAAAGAAGTATTAAGAACCAGCGGGAAAGCGTTTAGAAGAACAAGAAAGAAGGAACCAAAAACAGAAACAAGAACAAGGAAGTAGGTATTTAGAACAGAAAGAAGGCAATGCGAACTGGTAGAAAGTCAAACTATAAGTGAAGGACCGCTAGAGTCCGAAACATCTCCGAAAATGTAACAATGTACTTACTTGATGCTAATTATAATGTATTTTAAGCTTTGAAAATATTAATATGGTACTCATGTTCCGAAAATAATTTTAAAATTTTTAAATGTGCGCATTATTATTTGCTACCTATGAGCTAAATTAGCCCGCTATCTCAAGAGTCGGACTTACTTTACGTACTGTATTTTCTACTTCCTTGATAAACGATTCTTCAATATTAAATTTGTGTTTCAGTATGGCGAATCAGCGGGAGTATGTAAATGCAAATTAGGCTATATTGGTTTGAAATGCGATATGTGTGCCCCAGGGTTTCGAGGCTATCCAAACTGCGAATCTTGCCCGTGTGACCCTAAGGGAGTTACTGCCACTGGAGACTGTGAAGGCGAATGTCTTTGTAAGGTACATAATTTAGAACTCGTTTAATTTTTTTTCCAGTATTACGTTTAATTATTCTTAGCAATGTTTATTTGTCTTTAGCAAAACGTTGAAGGCAAATACTGCGATAGGTGCAAATCTGGGTATTTTGGACTATCAGAGAAGAACGCTGATGGCTGCCTGGCGTGCTTCTGTTCCGGTGTCACGACTCTGTGTGAGTTAGGTTTCATCAAATTGAACACCGTAAGTATTAAATCCCAATTTCTCCCTAATCATGAGTTTAATAAGCTTTGACTCTTTTGCATCATAACTGCAAGTCCATATAAATTATAATATATGGGATATTTATTTTTACAAAATACGATCTACTGATATATAATTGACTATGTAATAATGTACGTGATGATTCGATAACAAGTGCCAAGACAACTAACTGAATATTTAACTGAAAAACACTTCAACCGCGATTTGTTACTCTCCGAACTGCAGGGTGTTGAAAGCTTTTTTGGCATTATTCGAAAGGTTAGGATCCGAATAATGTTCTTATAAATTATTTATTAAGACTTAATAAGAACAAGTTTTATCATCAAACTGCACACTTTAAGCACACTAACTTTAAGGATGATTTTAGTATTAAACAAATTTTTCTTCTCTCAGATTCAAACTCTACAAAATTGGTTAATCACCGATCTGAGAGTTTCAGCATATATAACTCCAGTTACCAGCTCTACGAGTGTGTTCTCGGTCGGTAATTATGAGTTACCTGGAATTGAGAATCTCTATTGGCTGGCACCGAGAGACTATTTGGGTAACAAGTTGGAAATTTATGGCTCAACTTTCGTTTTCAATGTTCAATGGGTGGTTATGCGTGGTGATACGAGCGGTGAACCGACAATTGGACCTGACATGATTATGGTTGGCTCAAATGGATTACAGTTAGGTATTTACTTTTAGTATTATCATTTTACTCAAATAAAAACATTGTTGTTTTTATGAGAAAACCAATTTCCAATCGCACATGAATCAATAATGTTTTCTCAACAAAAATTTGAAAAACTAACGTTTTACTTGTTGAATATATGACGAATGAATGATATAAGAGGGTCTAGGCAAACTTTTTTAAGCAAATTAGTTGACCATTCGCAAAATGAAGGCAATTCATTCCTTGAGGGAATGGGAGAAAATACGGGATTTTAAAAGTGGTCCCATTTACACCGCCCACCAAATAATTGACCTGCTAAGCAGATTGGCAGTTCTTCATGGCATGTAATTTGAAAAAATGCATTGAAATAAGTTTCAAACAATATTTCGATTGATTGAATCGACCAAAAAGTGTGGAAGCAGCAATTTAACCGATACGTTGTTGATCAAAATGTACATCGGAATCAAATTTCTGCAATAAAAGCTGCGAAAAGTAACCCGTTTACCATATTTTGAACAATACATTATTCCAGTCAGGACTAGAATTTTTATACGGGTTAATTAAATATAATGTACTGCCACAATAACTGCAGAGCTCGATGCTGATACTGATTCAGCCTTCATAACATATTTTTTAATTAATTAAATAAAATATAAATCATGTAAAAATAGCAAATTTGTTCTTTACTTTTTTTAAGGAACATGTAAATATGGGATTTTTTTTATAATTTTTTAATTATTACGTTCATAAAGCAACTACTCACAAGCTCAATTTTAACATTAAAAAAATCGGTAAAATAAGAAGTGAGTGCAGATATTTTTGTTAAATATGTAAAATAATTAGTAACTATTTATCTAAAATTACTATTTATCGATTTACCCCATTTACTATTTATCTAAAATATTTTAAAGAACGTGTGGCACTTCTCGTTAATCGTAACATTAAAGCAGTAAACATTAGATCGCGTGTGAAATGCACCACAATTTTCTTTTAGTTTGACACTCCTCTGAAATGTTCCAAATACAAGATTGTGTGCAAGATTTCCACTTTCCCGCACTTTGCTCCGCTTTGGTTGCTCAAATGACCAAATACTTTACTGTAAGATGTTTTATTCTTGAACAAAGCTATTTATCTTATTTGCGTAAATATTAGAAGGAATCGGGTTTTTCTGAAAGTGTTGTATTTGTAAAAGTATTAAACGTTTTACATTTTTATCACTATAGAATCAGTATATCAATTTACGTACTTTTTTAAATTGTTTTCAATTCTTAATATTCAGTTGCATTATTGTAGGCATATTATTTCATTTATTAGCTCTCAAAAACGACAGTAGTACCTATTCGGGAAGTGAACAGAAATATTTGAAAGCGATAAAAGAGATTTTTAATATGGTATACACAACTTTTACACAACATTTCAGTTACATGCAAGTTAACAAAATGCGAAACTTCTTTTGATATTGATAATATATGATTTAGAAAGATCTTCTTAGAAACGAGAAACGAGGGAAATTTTGCGAACAAAGATGTTAGAGGCAAATTTTACTTCGTTTTCAGAATGGCATCATCAGAAATCAATAATGCTTGGAATGTTTGAAATGATTATAATGCAGAGGCATAGAAAAATAGACAGCTCATTTTCATAAAGACCCAACCAAACGTGAACAGTTTTAACGATATTTTACATGCAAAGAGCACGATAGGCTTCAATATGACCCGTTACTTTTAAGTTTCTATTATCATAATTTTCTGAATACGGATACCAGTTCATGTTTGTGGTTCTCCGTAATCAGAGAGTGGACAATGTTGGACTCATGCGTAATTAATTGGCTGCTTTTTAAAAAAAAATAGTAAAATCAAATATACGGGTTGTATTTTCAGTAAAATAATTCGACTTTTCTACTTCGGTCTGCCAGATGTTTTACAATAAAATTTACAAGCTCGTAAAGTAATGCGGAAAACAGTAAGAGGAAAATGCAGATAATTTTAGGGATGAAAAACTAACGGACTGGATTAAAGTAGTAATTTCTAAACTAGAAGGGTATAAATTAAAAATATCGTTGCTCGTAGCTCTACGGAATATTCATTGTAAACTTGTTTTTCCTCGCAGGTTATGGAGATCACATATATGGTTCCCAAAAGATGTCTTTTAGCATTCCGCTAAGCGAGCATGGATGGTACATAATACCCAACGAGATCCAAGATATAACGACGAGAATGACAAAATCCGATTATGTTAAAGGACCGGCGACAAGAGAACAGTTTTTACATGTGCTGGCCGATATAAAGCACATTTTATTAAGAGGTGATCTATGTATTTAATTTCACCTTTAAATAATAAAAAAATGATAGAGCTAAAGTCAACATAGTAAATGTGTTTGAAGATTTATATATTTTCGTATTATTATAAGTAAAGTTATATTGCTATTTATTTAAAAATATTTAATGTCCAATGCTTTTCAATAGGAACTTTCCACACTGACCAAATTGAGGCATTGCTGGAAAGTGCAACGATGAGTTACGGCAACGAAGAACTCACTTACGAAAGTGGAACCGTTGAAAAATGTTCCTGTCCATCAGGTGAGAATTATGCGGTCGTATAAATTGAAAAAGTATGTTCTGTAACGCATTATAATTCATAACATATTGAAGCGAATTATGACACTGCTTTTCATTTCAGGTTACACCGGCCTTTCTTGTGAAAGTTGCTCTTTTGGATACGTTAGAATATTTGCGAACACTTCAGAAAACGAAGAAGAAAGCTATTGTGGAAAATGCGATTGTAATGGTCATTCAGCTACTTGCAACGCTGATACAGGTAAGATAAATTAAGGCACATTCACCAATATCAAGATATTCGACAGCGCATTTGAAGAATTTTTGCCCCAAATAATGCATTTTTTGCTTAAATTGGTACAATCAATATGTAGAAAAATCATGAAAATGCGTAAATCTTAAGTTAACTGGAGTAACAGTATTGAAAATATTTGCTTTACCTAAACAAGAAATGTTCTTTGCGAAATAAATCCCACTGCAGGGTAGAAAAGTTTTATTTATTCACTTCTTTATTTTTGAGCTTTAAAGGAACCTAAAACACAATCGGTTAAATTTAAAAATCTTGGGGTACGTAACTTTGATCCAATTTTCGCTTAGCTGGCCAGATAAATTGAGGTCGAAGTAAACTTGGGATGACAGATGATATTGAAATGTTGAATAGCGTGAAATATTTTCGAAATTCTTCTTTTTTATAAAACTAAACTTACATGTACCTAAAGCATATATGATCGCTGAGGTTGTTTAACATTAATAGGTGCAATTAGTTTGTAGTTTCGCGTTTCAGACAATCGGTTTTCCTATTTTCATTTATATTGTTAAAATTAATTCATAATTTGTAAACACACTATGTTTAAAATTAATTAAATATGTATTTAAAATTGAAATTTTCAGCAAACAGACAATTTGCCTTAGATTTTATGGTGTTCACATCAAATTTATCCCTGAATATTTTTTATCTTTGATATTATTTATAAATTATACTCTCTTATGCCTTTTCAGGTTTTGTTCAGGATTGGTTTATTTGAATCAATGCACAAATAGCTATTTTCTACTAAATAAATCTGGATATACCAAAGTAGTGTTTAAAAAAAGCAAAAATATTCAGCTTCAGTTCATTAGTTAATTAACGTTTTGAATTAAAGCTTCCTAAATTTTGTTTGGAATGTTTAGGTAACTTTCAAACTTTATATTTTGAGAAAATGGTCTGACTTTTAATACGCAAATATTTATGTTTTAAAATTATTTACGGCAATCGGAATGCTATCGAATGTATTATTGTATTCATATTTTTCAGGTGAATGCTTTTGCGAGCATAACACTATAGGAGAGAAATGCGAACGATGTGCGGTGGGTTTCTACGGTAATCCTTTAAGGAGCACAATCGGCGACTGCAAGAAATGTGCCTGTCCTATGGAAAATATCGAAAACAATTTCAGCCCCAGTTGCCAGTTGGATTACTTTAATTTGGCTAACGAAGGTGGATATGTATGCACCCAGTGTCCGAAAGGATACACAGGGGATCATTGTGAAATGTAAGTAATAAACAGATTGGTGTATACTTACATGCAGGAAGAGTAGTATCTAAGTAGTATCTATTTTTAACGGGATGAGTTTTAATGGAGTAACTTAGTGGGTTTCAAAGAGTTATTAAATGAGGTATATTTCTACAGTAAAACAGCAAAAAGTTCTCGTTGCATTGCAATGATAACACTTTTAGTTTGACCGCGAAAACGTAAATAGGACACGTTAATCGGACAAAATCTAACTAGGGGTGCACTACTCAACCCAATCGCCAATTTACTCACGCTTCTAGAAATAATTTATTTAATTCCAACTAATTGAGAGAACTGTTTCAGTACCTATGAATCAGGTAACAAATTCGCTTTGCAAGAGTCGGTTTAGCACAGCTATAAAATTTCAATAAAAGTCACAGAAAAATATTGAAAGATTTGCTAAAAAAATATATCTTTCCAGATGTGACGATGGTTATTTTGGGGATCCACTGGAAATTGGTAACAGTTGCAGACCCTGTGACTGTAGCGGTGGTCCATGTGATAGAAGAACCGGTCAATGTTTAGCATGCAAAGGAAATACCGAAGGTATGTACGCGTGTACTCAAGAAATTGACCGGAAAACATAAATTACAATTGGCAACAGTATCTAACTAAAATTTTCGGATCTAAGGTTGGAAATGTGAAAGATGTAAGTCAGATCATTACGGCGACCCGGCAGCTTCCAACTGTAAAGCATGCGAATGTGATCCCCTTGGATCTGAGTCGAAACAATGCGATAACGTTTCTGGCCAATGTACATGTAAAGGCAGGTTTATTGGCAGAACTTGTGATCAATGTGAGGTAAGTTGTTGTATTTTTATGCATTCTATAAATATTAGTGCGATACACCACTCACAAAACTGGATTAAAATCTTTGTATGATGTTATGATCAGATCTAATATCGGCACACAGATAATCGTCCATCCGTGTTACGCTATTCTGATATCTCTGTGTTTAATCGGGAAGAAACCCATCTGTTTTCTCACCATATAATTTGGACTAGCCGAACTTTGAACTACCYTGTCTAWAACTTTCTTTTACATGCACAATTCGGTTTTCAGCTTGGTTTTGGCAAYGTTACCGCTTTATGCCCACCGTGCTCCTGCAACTCAATCGGTTCGAGATCTGGTATATGTGATCACCACACCGGAATTTGCGACTGCTTGCCAGGCGTAGATGGATTTCATTGTGATGCTTGCCAGAACCTGCACTGGGGTTTTTCAACCAGTGGCTGTCAAGGTATGTGAATATGTAGTCATTATTTTTTTTATCTATATTGTTGTTATTGAGCCATTTATTCCCCGATATTAACCCCAGTTAACTTAAGTATAAATGAACTCCATACAGCGAGTCAAATTGTTAAATAATCAGTGGCTGCTTGTTTTTAAGATATATTTTAACAAAACATATATATTTTTTAATCACTGTGTTGTCTGGCGCTGTTATAGGAGTACAGAAAAAATAGTAAAAGAAATTAATTGTTATTAAAAACTGAGAAATTTACAAAAAACTATGTTAGAAATACGGCAACAATGTTTTACAGAGAAATTGTACAGAGTGACAATAAGATAGGCAAGGATAAACGGTAAATTCAACAAGATTTGTTGACTGTGGAACGTACTTTCGAAATGTCAACCTTTATCTTAACCTCGAATATTGGTGTTTATAAATCAACCATACAACACCAAGCATTTGAATGGTTAACTCCTAACAAGCTAGTGCCTCTGTAATCTCCTTATTATCCACTCTTATTAAGCAGCTTTTTGTATTCAGTTAATTAACTCCTGCTCCATTTGTATCTCCTTGTGGTGTGTATCGTACAAACGTGGTAGGAATGTAGCCTTTCCTCGGTATTTATTTGGTGCTTGGGAAATTGTTGGTTATTTAGTTATTGTGCTCTGAGTGCCCCTGGAAGGCCCTGATTCGATTATGTCCTCTGTGCCTGGAACCCGAACATCGATGGTCGTCCGCTGTCTTCCTGGAACCACTTTCCTCGCCCTTTGTTGGCGTGAGTTCTTTCAGCTTCTGCTATGTTACTGTAGCATTTTCCCTGAACTAATCGCATATCCACAAATTTGTGAAAGGAAATTCAAAGTAAGTCATAGTTTGACAAATTATTGCTTTTATTGGCAAGGGTAACTATCTGTTAATGGCAAAAAACATCATTGCCGCTGTGCCTTTTGGTAAACAAATTGTAGAAGAGAACTTTTTTGATATCAAAAATTTTCGCAATTTGAAGCAAAGATCGTAATTTTTCTTTTTGAATGCTTGAGTATTCCAATATGTTACCAATTAAACATGGAACAATTTCAAAATAATGCTTAATAACAAAGTTGAAATTCGATCTTCAACTGTTAATATCTTCTAGAAATTTTCAAAAAAAAAAATGTTCAATATTTTTCTCGTACTCCCTAAGCGAGCCTCTATCACCCCTTAAAAGGAATGACGTCAATTTTGAATCACCCTGTATTAATAACGCAGTGACAAACCTTCTAAGAATGGCTGATCAAAGGGTGCTTCAAGTGATTAGACAGGCTTGTTACTAAACATGCGCTTCGTATTCAAGGGCTTATTCCTTGGACCATAGCTCAGCAAAATTGCTACTTTGATAATTGTTGAAATATCGTAAGTTGAGTAGACTGAGAATATACCAATTTCTATAGCAGAGAAACGAAACATGATCTCGGTGTCTGAGCCTCAATTTTTATGCGAAATATATATGTTAATGATGGAACCCACTTTTGTGAAAGCTTTCTATGTTTCCCCCGTGATTATTTTAATTTTCTATGTATGTAAACATTTTTAACGTACTTTTTCACATAAAATCCTAGACCGTAACCAATTATGAACAAAAACAATGTATATTTTATCATATTTGCTTTAAGCTTCAGCTATTTTGATAAATCTAGCACACTATATTTTGCTCAACTATTCTATGAAGTATAAAAGGTCAATGTTTTTAAACACTATGCTGCAATTTTTCGCTTTGAAGGAACAGAGTTTAGACGACGAAGCGAGTGCAAATGTGTCACGACAGTTGTAAATTTTTTACTTCAAACAGTTTTTCCTGAATTTCCGGAAAACCGAATAGGATTTATGTCTTAATGTGACACACTTTTTATTCTAATTGCTTCCATCCATGTACTTATACATTTTCTAACATCATTTGACAGAGTTTTTTTTATTATTTTTAAAACAACGTGTCGGAAGGAGTGGTGTTATTTGAAATTGTAGTGCTCGTAGTTGGGTGAGTAGGTCTGACCGCTAGAATAATGTTACATGACATAGACCTTCCTCCTCCTTATCTAAATCGAGACATTTTTTGTATTTTGTATTTGATATTACATTAAAAACATGTCTTTTTTTGTCATAGTATGTAGTATTGGCAATAGTATAGTAAAATATGAGTTTACAAACTCTCATATTAATGGATTCGACATACAAAAGTTCTTTGGAGATGTTCTCAAAGAAATTTAAGAAAATACATACAAAAGTTAAAGAGTTTCGTCCTGCTTCCCTCGTGTTCGTTGGTTTCCAAACAAACTGACTTTTAACGTGAATTTTTAACGATAATTTACAGTTTTTGCTTCGTTTTTGGTCGCGTTTTGTTTCGTGGTTAATGGAGTGGTGCTTGTGCCAATTTATTGAGGACTTCTTATTATACTATTCACACCTACTTAATACCTGAGCGTCTTCTGTAAATAGTATATCAATTTATAATTTCCTACCAAATACTACTACACGACCATGGCCGCAAATACTCAAAATTTAATATTCAAAAGAAAAATTGCCTGATATCAACTATTCAGCCATTAAATTTTCATTTGGAAACCGTGAATAGATTGCGTTGATAGTAAGAAATAGCTAAATTACTCCAATGTCATACATAAGATGCAATGATAAACAATACATTGAATCGGAAACACAACATGCCATCTTTATGGTTGAGCGTATTTATACACCGACACATCGTTAACTGCACAAAACAACAAAATATCTTGCTGGATAAATCCAGATTGTCTCATTGCAAAATTGAATTCAGAGCCATGCCAGTCTGCTGCTTTGACCTACATGTAACAAATTACTAAATTTACGCAATACGCATTAGAAGTAATATATAAATATAGATAGGTAATCAAACAATTGGGGGTCTTGACTTATCGAGTTACAGCTGGCAGAAAGTTTCGAAATAGGTCGACGCTTCCTGAATTGAGCTGTTAATCTAATGTGGCACAAATATTTAAATATTTGAAACGATACACTGAAAGGTTTACGTGATCTTTAAAGTAAAGAGAATCAAGACATGCTAATAGAATGTGGTTAGCACATGATCTGTTTACTTACTTATGAGATTTTGTGGATATTGTTGCAGGCTTATTTGATTTCTTAACACCGGTAGCACGCTGTACAAATGCTGAAGATTTATGGCAAATTCCATGACATACAAATTATTCTAGAGCTGGTTTAACTAAGTTTTAGTTTACAACAATTTTCCTTTTAAAATGAGTGTTTTTCTATAAATATTTAACATTTGCTAACAAATTTTAAAAAATTTAATATTCGATTTAATATGTCTCCCAATTAATCGAAATCATACAATTAGTAAGAGATTATGTCTAAGATTTCAAAACCTTTATAGGTAACCGCTGGCACAAGCTCTCTTATTTAGAAACTGTCGAATTTTCCGAAATCAGTAATATTTTGTTAAGCATTATTGTCCCATTTTTTGAAGATTTCATGTATTTAAATCGATTGGACTTTCTATTGCCACGTCTCCAGTCGGCGCTGCTTTGCTGATGGGCAAGACGGTCTGGCTTCAGTAGTGGTTTTGCCCAATCAAATACACGTGCAGACTGAATTTGTACGTAAACGAACATATTCGTGTTTACGTTGTTCGTTTATGTTCTTATTCTTTGTCCAGACTAGGGCTCGAAATTTTAAAAAATCTGAAATTCGAATGTTCGTTTAGTGGTTTATTCGAATACTCGATTATTCGAGTATTCAAGTATACAAAGTGCATATAAAGATATTTGCACCTTGTGAGTTTGATAATGTTGGTGTTTTCGAGTATTCGAGTATTCGAGTATTCGAGTATTCGAATATTCGGATATTCGGATATTCGAATATTCGAATAATCGAATTAGGCGAGTTTGATTCCGAGCCCTAGTCCAGAACAAAAGCTTCCCGAAGTATCGGCCGTCATACATAACATACACTCCCAGATTACACAGCCAGTTGTATAAATAATGTAGGATAGTGAAGACGTTTTTCACGATTTATTGTAAATGGCAAATGCAAAAAAATAAAAAAACAGCAACTTGGAATGCGGCAACTTGGAATATTCTCGACTTCCAGAGGAAAACTCGATTCTCACTTAGAGTAATATTTTGAGATTCGAAATTGGATTTTTGGATTGGAAGTATCTCAAACAGTAAATTTCAATTTTTTTAAATCTAATTGGGTTGAAAATTGCTTAACCAGATAGAAATTAACGAAGAGCAATTTCCAAAAAGTTCAATTAGCTGCTACTATTTTTTGCGACGGACGGTTTGTGCCATTGTATCTGTTCATATATATTTTTCAAATATCATAAAAACAATTTTTAGATAACACATCATTACAGCTTGGGCTGAACTGTACGTACGAAGTCCGGCTGGCACACACTCGGCTCGTCTACAAGAGAAAAAAGTATTTCTGGGCCCTTTTTATTTTACCGACCGAAGTCGGCTTTGTCAGCTGCAAATTTTGCAGATTGAGCATGCCTTAACTTCAGTATATATACCACGAAGACCACTTTGTTACTTGTAATTTTTGTGCTTCTGGTTTTTGAGATTTCACTGCGGTTTCGTATATTAAACACAAAATTGAGAATGGTCTTATCTAAACTACTTTTTCCGTTTCGTGATAAATATAAATCAAACTTTCGGTTTAGTTCTGCCAAAAGTATAATTTAAAAGGTTATACTTTTGACAGACCCTTAAATAAAAGCTTAAGGAAAATCGCGAAAAAATCTAACTCTCAAAATATCAGACTTCTAACAAAGAAACTTTAAGACTTCTAACAACATTTTTAGAAATGCAAAATAGATATTTTATAAATACGATAATAATTATCTTTAGCTTTAAATAAATTTAAGTAAATACATATTTTATTAAGAATTAAATTAATATTTCCCAACGTAGACAAAACGGTGATTCCATCATGGTCACAAATAAACTAGATTTGCAACATCTACTTTA